ATGATAATACGTTTTGCAAAAAGCGTTTGACACTGTGGCTTACGGCTTTGTCTTTATAGAACTGCTTTGTTTTTTTTAAACGATATCCAACCAATGAGAAACAACAGGGGATTATCCCGAAATTTGGGGTTGATACCATTCATTTGTAGATTTAACTAGTTAGCCAGAAAACTTTACAGTTTGTGTGAGACTGAAGAAATCAGATCACAGGATAAATAATAGCATCGCGGAGAAAACACATAGCGTCGGGGGCAAATCCGGTCGCGTCGCGGCCCTCGTTGCTGTTTTGACCTGGGGAGAACACTGATATCAGTAGTGAGTAATGTTGTTTTCTTTGAAAACATTGCAATTTCCAGTGCTTTCAAAACCCTTGGGTGTACAGTGTTTGCAGACATATTTGTATGCAAACCATATACTTGATTTATATGGGTAATTATACGAGAATTAACATGCAAAGGGAGTTGATGTAGGTCAGTTCCCAAAGGGGGAAAAAATAGGTCATAGTTGCATATTTTCTGTTCATTTTGCAATTAGTGGTATTTTCAACATGTTTTGTTCAATTTTTGACAGATCTAGGTCGAGGTCCCCACCGCCAGAAGAGGAAGATGACATCGATGAGACAATGGTTGTCCTTGACAAATGTAAGTCACTAAGGGTTTTTTGTCAAGAACAAATGTGAAATACCTTGCTTACTCACAGAAAATGTGTATATTGAAAAACATCTTGTACCACCGTTGAAGTCCTATTATAAACCACGGTTTATATTACAATGTATCAATTTAAAAATTGGGATCAAAAGCTCAAGTTCGGGGTGCGGTTTCTATTACGTACATATTGCAATCACTAAATGGGCATGGTCATTTTTTGTCCACAACACATGCACAAAACAAACAATACACCGTACAATCTCTTGAATAGGCGTCGGGGAAGAGTGAAAGGCCTTATTTTGGTTCTAAAATAGGCATTACGAAATGTTGAAAAATTACAGTCAATCAAAAAAAAATTCTACATGATACAAAAAATACTCAGTAATTTTAATGTAATATGCATTTATTTTTTTTAATTTTCTTGGTAACAAAAAGTATATTCTAACAGAAGTTTCAAATAAAAACACGAATGCACTGCTTAGTAGCAAATG